GGCTTGCATCTGTAACTGCACCTATAGAATGAAGGAGGCTGATGCGCAAAAAAAAAAAAAAATCACAGTCCACCATTAGTACATAGGCCCTAAAACAATTTGGAGCAGGCTCACCTTATCACTGGGCAAAGAGCTGCAGAACAGTCCTGATACTTACCAGCCTGACATCTCTCAGGCAACTGGGTTAAGGTACTCTGTGGTCTCAGGCCCATTCCTGATTTGCTGTATGGCCTCTTGGCAGCTTGCAGATACAAAGCCTGAACATTTTCCAAAGCTTGAAGGGAGCTTCAAATATTCCAAAAGATTCAAAGTGTGAAACTACCCCAGCATGTGGGAAACATTTTAAATAGGGAGGCAAGGCGTTAAAACTTACTCGTGATTATCTAGATCCATCGAGCTGGTGCCTACACATTTAACAAGTTGGCAAGATTTATCTAGGACAAAAAGTAGAACCAACAGAACAGACACACTGACCCAACATGGTTCTGAGGCCCCAGCCCACAGTTATCCATCCTCCTTCAGCCTCAGTATGGCTCACTGGCAAGGAGTCCGATCCTATCGTGTGCCAAGAGCCACAACTCCCACTGGGGATAGAGGGCAAGCAGCGCCTCTCAGGACAGGGTCTTTTACAATATAGGAGTGACAGTATGCCCTTGGTTCCTTTTAAATGCTTGCTGTCTGCATGAAAGGCGAGGATTAGAACAGTTCCCCTGCTCAGGGCTTGGAGTTCTCAAGCTGTTCACACAGCATTAGAGCCTGTATTAAGACTGAAAAGTCTCCAGGTGCCAAGAGCTGGACCCAGAGTTAGTCACCAGCATGGAAACTGCTTCTTGTAAGTAGTAAGGTGCTGATCATATGGGGTAGACAGTCCCCCCCGCACTGTACTGTATTGGAAAGTTCTGTGCCATGATTAAGTGATCCCTGTTTGCCACTGTGTATCCCACCCATCACCGTATTTATTCAGGCTCGTTTCAGCAAATTGCTTTCTTCCCTTCCCTTGCATTGCACCAGTCACAGACAGGACTTGAGAACTGTCATGACCCATACTGTATATAATAGCAGCTGCTTTAGACAGCCCTGCTTGGCATGGCTTGGTTGTGTCCCCATTTACTAAAGAGTAAACGTATTGCGCTTGAGCTCCCCCCTCAGTTGCATTTCTGTCCAGAAATGCCCACTTGGTTCTTAACATTCCTATTCTCACCCAGAAAAGATGCACTTTAAGAATGGAGTAAATGTCAAGATCATGTCCCTTTACCTGCAAAAGCCACTTTTAAAGTAGTTCTCATACAGAATTGCCTTAGAAACTAAACAGTTCTTTGTATACACAGGAAAAGGACTGTACTTGTAGCAAGTTTGTGCCCTCTGGATTCAACTAGCACCATATCAATGAATGGTTGGCACAGTACTGATCTCCACCCCACCCCACCTACTTGTGGACAGGTGTTGTGTTTACTCTAGATAGCCTGCAATGAGGCAAACACATACCTGGGCAGCTTGCTGCCCGCTACAGAGTGCTGCCATAGTTAGGACTAGAAGTTGACTCATAGCGCATCTCGATACAAATCAAAGTATACAACTGTTGATTTCAGCATTTAGTTAAACTTTACCCAGTGCACGTTACAGCCTGCAAAAGAGGTAAGGAAAGATAAACTTGTCTATTCAGGAACTAACATTTAGAAACAGAGGGTATTTCCAAACCATGGCTTTGAATAAAATTTCCTTTCAAGTCTGCGGTTTGGAAACAAAAGTGGTTGCTATTCACCATCTAAGGAGCAATGAATGATGAGGAGGGACCCATTTTTGGGCACATGGAAGATATTCTCCTGAAGTACATACCAGGCAAGGCTCTCTACCCTTTCAATGGATGCAACATCATTTTTACCTTTTTGTTATTTTACATTAAAGATACAAAAAAATTAATAAAACAGTTCTCAAGAGCAGATTTCTAGTTTTGCCTTTCTTGTTTCTGGGTGGAAGGAGGCACCACTGAACAAGAACCAAATTCCCACTTAAGGTGCGTCAGTGTCTTTAGTTTCTTCCTATTATTTAACTGTTGAATTGATCAAAATGCCTTGAGATGCTCTGGCTGCAGCCCTGTTACAGCATCATCCTACTTCTCCCATTAACCACAGAATATTCTTATAAAAAGTAGGCTGGGCAATCTATCCCAGGCCATTATACATCCGGAAGCAACATAACGATCACACCTTATTTCCATTTCAACTGTTTTTGGTAACCTTTAAAATACCAAAATATCCAGCAATGGGTCAGGAGATCCCATCATCTGAAATACGGTTGTCTCTCTGGCTAAATGAAAGAGACTGGAATGCTCAGTTGAAACGGATGCGGAGAAACTGCTGAAAGAAAAAAGTTGTATAAGCTTGTACCATCTCTCTTATGACACTGAATTCACACACAAGATAATTTTTACAGAACCAAACTGCACCTGCAGTGCTTGGTTACTAAGGCCCAAAGGAAACATGGCAGACTTTTTTTGGGTGGGGGAGGGGATGTGGATGTCTACAATACAGCAAATACCATTAGCCAACCTGAGCAATGCTTTCAAGTTGGCTAAAGAGAGTAATGCACTGATAAACTATTTCATTATGAAGGTAACAAACTCTTTCAGCATTTTAGTTTAATCTTTTGTCTGTTTTGTCACAAAATGGGTCTAAGACATGATACAATGTTGCAGCACCGCATACTGCATTGCTTTAAGCAGCAATTTTTGGTACCTTAGATGCCCTAGATCAAAGTATTTCCTGATGTCAATCAGCTTTGGTAAGTCTGATACACTCCTAAGCTTCTTGTAGACAACTACACTAGCTGAACACAGGCAACAGTTGGTAGCACATCCTCTAGGAAAGCAGGTTCAGATCACTTCATATCAGGTTCTCTTGTGACTTTACAAGTAGAAGCACAGTCCAGGCTGTCAAAAAGTCATGTACCTACAAGCAGAATTATGAAATACTTAACATGACTATTCTAGTTTTCATTATTTTATCCGGCAAAGAGGTGAATGACTGCCACAGGTGGTCCTTTTCTTATAAAACACCAGAAGCCTCATGAAAGCTATATATCAAATCAGCAAAATAAGCAGCCCGGGAAAAGAACATTGATAGTCACCTCACATAAACCAGAAAGTTCAAAACCAGGCTGCAGGGTATTAGCCAATAGCCAGAGACTTGTAAGAAATGGGTTACAGTTCACTCAGTCAGGGATTTAAAGATACAGAAACTAACTTTGTTCCAAAGTAGATTCATAAAGGGGACTAGCACAACACCGTGCATCAAAATCGCCTCTACAAAGAATGAGTGAATTTAAGTGCAAGGGAACATTACCAGTCCTGATCAGTTGTTTGAACAGTTTTGTTCAGATTTTAAATCGAAATAAAATCTGGAATCACAGAAGTGTCCATTTAAAGTAATACTCTTCCTTCAGCTCACGCCCCCCCCAGTACACAAAGCTGTTCAAGGTCTCCAAATAATACTCTTTATTGGCTAATAAGACATATTTGACAATAAACCTGGTAAAAATGACAATGCTAATCAGCAGCAACTGGGGATGGATTAGAACAAACCACTAAGATTTAGTAAGATTCCAAAGTACCCAATTCCTGTTCTCAAACTTGCTTAGAAAGCATTTTGAGAAGTCATGTAAAACAGTACAGAACACACTAACTCCCTTTAACTTTAATTAAAATAGAGTTTATTAGCTTTTCTTTTAATACAAACATGAGAAAGAAAAACCACCTGAAGATGTAGCATTATTTTCAAAATTGAATTATGGTCAATACCTGAAGCTCCAAGTTCCATAGATCGGGGGCCAGGGACTGGTAGATTTGCAAACTTCAGAATACTATGTGTTACATTTAAATAGTTTGAGTGCTGCCAAATTGACTGTTACACTCATGAGCCCCTTACTCTCAAAGGCATATGGGCTTGGTATTAAGCATAGCTTTCTGGACCCTGGCTGGAAGTGAGGTGGCACAAATGTGCCATACTGAGTGAGATTTGTTCCTAGGACAAAATGCCTAGAATCAGTTTACATCTAGGAGGGGAAGGTATACTAGGATTTATAACAGGAAGAGCTTATTAATACTTATTCTGTTTAGAGTTCAGAATTTCAAAGCTTGAAAGTAAACTCCACCCCAAATTCTCAGTGAAAGTGTCAACTCAATTCTGAAGAGCAGCAGAGTTGCACAAACTAAAGTTCACTTCTCAAAAAAAATTTGATAAGATACGCATTTGGGTTTTGTGTAAGTAATGTGAAAGAAATCTTATTACTAAACTGAAAATAGCTGTCTACCCGTCAGTCAATTCAAGATCCTCAAAACTCACTACTGTCACATCACGAATGCAAACCCCTGCCTGGAAGCTGAAGTCGAGGGGAGCACAAGCAGATGCACGATGTGTCTCCTTTGTCAACCTTGTAAGAATCTGTAGTGAAATTCAGAGGTGCATGCAGTATACCATCTATTCATTACTGGCTTGCTAAACTGTTTGGGACAATGCCACAGTTTCCAATTGAAACAAAAAACAAAAACTAACAGGGTGCTGGGATGGATTAACAAGAACATCCTA